ATATATATATATATATATATATATATATATATATATATATATATGTCTGTGTGTGTGTGGTGCAATTGTGCTGATAAATAAATAAAGGGAGACTACTATAGATCTATTTCAACCTATTTAGCTCTCATCAGCTAGCCATACCCTTACTGGGATTTGAACCTATCAAACCTGGGCTGTATTACATATTAGGCAGTTATATTAGCCACTAAGCCGCAGGCTCTCCTCCTTTATCAGCTAGGCCAGGGAAACAGGTATGAATTGTGTCAGAACCCCTGGTATGCCCAAATATGGGAGGGAGCATACTGCTTCCCTTTTCTGTCTATTGGCTCACTCTGGGAGCCATCCAGGCAGAAAGCCTTTTTTTTTAATGTTGCCTTGTTACACTTGTGTTGCAATTGTGCTGATAAATAAATAAAGGGGGACTAGTATAGATCTATTTCAAGATATTTAGCTCTCATCAGCTAGCCATTCCCTTAGTGGGAATCGAACCTGGGCTGTATTACATATTAGGCAGTTATATTAGCCACTAAGCCATACCAGGGGTTGTGACACAAAATACACACACACACACACACACACACACACACACACATCACAGAAAAGAAAACACCAGAGCCACAAAACCTGGGAGGAGTCATGTGACTGGGTGGGAGGGAGTGATGTTGAGTTGGCCACATACATACAGGTTTTGAAACTTCCAGTGTTTTCTTTTCTGTGGGAAATGAGTCCAAATGGCTCTTCAGGTGTTTAAGGTTGCAGGCCCCTGGTATGGGAAATGACCTTGAGGAATGAGGGGAAGAGCTGGCCACCAGACAAGAGACCATTGCAGAAGTGTATGTCGTTTTTCCCTAATATAATAACCTCCTTAAATCTTTAATGTTGCTACCCGTCTCAGGAAAACAAAGTAATTCTACTTATGTATTATACATGTCCCCCCCCCCTTATAAATCTGAAGTATTAACAAGGGCTGCTAAATTAGCTTTACCAGCTTTTATTCACCCACCTCTATAGACTAAGAGGAAAGAGGTTCAGGATAGCCACACACCTAACATCTCTGAGACTATGTCCACCAGGTTAGAAGTTGATAGGTTTAATTCAGCAAGATTCTGTCCATTAAGTATAGGCAATTAAAGGATGGAATTTGATTGGATTTTGCTCTGTTGTCTCTAAACGAGCTTCTCAGTTGGGCAGGGACACACAAAACATTTTCCAATACATTTTCTCTGAAGGCAATAATTCAGAAATAGGTGCTAATTAGAGGTGGAATTTAGCCGGTTCAGACTGGTTTGCCAGAACCGGTTGTGAAAATCGTGGATGGGCCCACCCACCCATCCTGGCTCTATGTCGGCCTGTTTAGGGACGTTTTCAAGCCGCGCGCCTGTGTGCAAGCCTCATGTGTGATCAAAATACATGCACGGAAGGCCTAGGGCAGGTGTGTATGGGGCGTTCACATTTGTGAACCAGTAGGGAAAGTAAGTGAATACCACTCCTGGTGTTAATAATCTTGCATTTTATATTTCATAACAAACCTTTGCAATATGTATGTGACCTATACAAGTTTATTTGTGGAGGAGGTTGTGACAAATGGTATGCACAACCATGCACTCAAAACTCCCATATTGGGTTTGTGTGTGTGTGTGTGTGTGTGTGTTTTAGTCCTCTACTTGCACCCTCCAACAACCTCCAATATTATGGTCATGCCACTAAAACAGTAAAAAGGAAAACAATCCATTTCACCCCCTCTCACATGCTGTCTTTCATTACCTAGTTCAATAGGCCTGCAATGGGAAATAAACAGCAATGGATTGGTAGAAGCCTCTTCTCCTTCTTCTTCTTCTTCTTCCAATGTAATTGAGACTTCGCCTGGAATTATAAAGAAGAAAATATGCGTAGGTAGGAAGGGCATAGAGTGTTATATTGAAAAACACCTGATTCTATGCTACTACATATCCATCTTGGGAATGCAAAAGGCTTGATTAAAAACCACAAAATTTAACATAGCCATAAAATTGTCCCGAAGCATGAACTCTTGTAACGTCAAGGAGTACATTTGATAAACTCAGCTAGAATAAATCATGTTTAAGCTACTCAGAACTGAAAATAAAAGAGAAGAGGCATAAATAATGTATGTTATTTATGTACATTTGTGTGTACAGTGTGAAAATAAGATGGAAGCATGAACAAAACTCTACTCGTACAACAGAATGTAAGAGAGACACATTGCCAGACAAGTTGCTCTAAATCAGTGGTAGTCAACCTGGTCCCTACCGCCCACTAGTGGGC